AGCTGAGCCTATGTGCTATTGGGCATTTATCCCAGAGAAAATGAAACATATTCATACAAAAACCTGTACACAAATGCTCGTAGCAGCTTTATCGATAATAGACTCAAACTAGAAACAACCCAGATATCTTTCAGTGAGTGAATGGTGAGAAGAGTTGGTACATACCATCCATGGAATGCTACTTAGCAATATAAAGAAATGAACTATTATTATACACGAGTTGGATGGACCTAAAGAGCATTCTGTGGGTGAAAAAAGTCAATCTCAAAAAATCACCTGCTGTATATTTTCATTTATATAACATTCTCTAAATGACAGAATTCTTTTGTAGTAGGATCTTGGGTTATTGGTGATGGGCAAGTAAGGTGTTGCAGGCACATCTTGTTTTATTGTGCTTCACAGATACTGTGTGTTTTATGAATTGAAGGCTACGGCAACCCTGTGTCGAGCAAGTCTGTGGATGCTACTGTATATGTTATGGTAATCTGTAATCAGTGGTTTCTGATGTTACTATTGTAATCATTTTGGGCCACCTCAAACCACACCCATATAGGATGACAAACTTAATCAATAAATGTGTGTGTTCTGACTGCTCCACCAACAGGCCCTTCCCATCTCTCTCCCTCTCCTTGGGCCTCCCTATTCCCTGAGAAACAGCAGTTTTGAAATAAGGCCAGTTAATAATCCTACAATGGCTTCTAAGTGTTCAAGTGAAAGGAAGAGTCACAGGTCTCTCACTTTAAATCAAAACCTAGAAGCGATTAAGCTTAGTGAGAAAGGCATATCGAAAACTGAGATAGGCCAAAAGCTAGGCCTCTTGTGCCAAACAGTGAACTAGGTTTTAAATGCAAAGGAGAAGTTCTTGAAGGAAGTTACTCCAGTGAACACACAAATGATAAGAAAGCAAAATAGCCTTACTGCTGACATAAAGTTTTAGTAGTCTGGTTAGAAGATGAACAAGCTATAACGTTCCCTTAAACCATAGCCTAATCCAGAATAAGGTCCTAACTTTTCAATTCTATGAAGGCTTAGTAAGGTGAAGGAGCTACAGAAAAAAAGTTTGAAGCTAGCGTAAGATTAAGGAAAGAAACCGTTTTTGTAACACAAAAGTACAAGGGGAAGCAGCAAGTGCTGTTATAGAAGCTGCAGCAAGTTACCCAGAAGATCTAGCTAAGCTAATTAATGAAGGTGGCTGCACTAAACAGATATTTAATGTAGACAAAACAGCCTTATATTGAAAGGACTTTCACAGCTAGAGAGGGAGAAGTCAATGCTGGCTTCAGAGCTTTTAAGGACAGGCTGATTCGTGTAAGGACTAACACAACTGGTGACTTTAAGTTGAAGCCAGTGCTCGTTTACCAATCCAAAAATCTTAGGACCCTTAAAAATTATGCTAAATCTACTCTGCCTGTGCTCTACGAATGGACAGCAATGCCTGGGTGCCATCACATTGTTTACGACATGATTTATTGAATGTTTTAAGCCTTCTGTTGAGACCTAGTGATCAGAAAATAAGGTTCTTTTCAAAATTTTACTGCTCATAGAGAGTGCACCTGGTCACCCAAGAACGCTGGCGGAGATGTACAGTGAGATGAATGTTGTTTCCATGCCTTTAACACAACAGCCTTTCTGCAGCCCAAAGATCAAGGACTAATTTCAACTTTCAAGTCTTATTTAAGAAATACATTTCATAAGGCTCTAGCTACCATAGATAATGATTTCTCTGATGGATCTGGGCAAAATAAATGGAAAACCTTCTAGAAAGGATTGATGATTCTAGATGCCATTAAGAACATTTGTGATTTCATGGTAAGAGGTCAAAATATCAACATTAACAGGAGTTTGGAAGAAGTTGACTTCAACGCTCATGGATTACTTTGAGGGGTTCAGGACTTCAGCGAAGGGAAGTAACTTCAGAAATAGAGAGAGCAAGAGAACTAGAATTAGAAATGGAGCCTGAAGATGTGGCTGCATTGCTGCACTTTCATGGTGGAACTTTAACGAATAAGGAAGGAGTTGCTTCCTAAGATGGGTGAGGAAAGTGGTTTCTTGAGATGGAATCTACTCCTAGTGAAGATGCTGTGAAGATTATTGAAGTGACAACAAGGGACTTAGAACATTACATAAACTTAGTTGATAAAGCAGCAGGAGGGTTTGAGAGGATTGACTCCAGTTTTGAAAGAAGTATTGCTGTGGGTAAAAGGCTGTCAAACAGTGTGATATGCAACAGAGAAATTGTGAAAGGAAGAGTCAGTCAGTGTGGCAAACTTCATTGTTGTCTTATTTTAAGAAATTGCCACAGCCACTCCAGCCTTCAGCAACGACCACCCAGATCAATCAGCAGCCATCAACATTGGGGCAAGACCCTCCACCAGGAAAAAGATTAAAATTCGTTGAAGCCTCAGATGATGGTTAGTTTTTTGTTTTTTGTTTTTTGGATTTTTTTTAGCAATAAAGTATTTTTAAGATATGTACATTTTTGGACATAATATTATTGCACACTTAATAGACTATGACCTCACAGATTGCAAGGACCTTGTCAGCTTACAATCCCTTATTTTTTATTTTTTATGCCTATAGCACTTGGTCTTCTTAGATGGTCTCCCATCCAAGTACTAACCAAGCCCGACCCTGCTTAGCTTCCGAGATCAGACGGGATAGAGCTTGTTCAGGGTGGCATGGCCATAGACTACCTGCATAACTTTTATCTATACTGGGAAACCACAAAATTTGTGTGACTCACTTTATTGTAGTTTTGGCTTTATTGTGATGGTCTGGAGCTGAACCCATAGTATATCTGAGGTATGCCTTTATAGAATATTTATAAATTTAAGAATTGTTTAGAAATAGGATGAGAATTCTGAGGAAGGGCTCTCAGCTTGGGACCTCATCAGACGTAGGGCTCAGCTGTTATAAATGATCACTTAAGCTAAAATTTCACTTGCTTGTTGTGGTCTTCTGTTCTTAAATCTTCTTGATACATATTGTCTTCTAGGATTGGCATGAGCAGCTGCCTGTGAAACTTATGTAGGGTAGTTGGGCAGGAAAGCGGTCAGGGCAAGCTTTCATTAAGAAGTATAGAATATTCACTTCTACTGCAGAGTAGAGGGATAAAAGAGGTGATTATTTCCATTATCTCGGGCTGTGTTACCTTAGCTTCTTTTTGGTTGTAAGAAACAAATTGGCTTAGTTTACCGTAGAGATTTATTGTAAAGAATATATCTTAATTGGCCTTGATGAAATGGCTGCAGATACTAGAGTAACTTTAGTGTCATCTTTTTTGTCCTCTAGTTCATCTGTTACCAACTCTAGTGTTTCCACCATTTTGATGAGCCAATTTATTTTTTTTTATACTCCAACTGTTTCTCTGGTGACTATATAAACTCTCTAATTTATTCTCTAATTTCTCTTAGCTTCATACTTCTTAAAAGAAAGGGTCAGATTAGGTTGTCTTATATCTAGTTGAGCAAAGTTCTCATGAGTTATTCTGAGGCCTCTTTGATGGCCTTTGGATCAGAAGCTGATCCCTGTTCATGGTCATTTTTAACCAGAGCTTTGGTATCTCATCATCTAAATTATAGTGATCATGCTATATATGTCAATGGTCACTTTCCTCAGAAGGAACTGTGTGTCCTTCCTTAGTAGGTATTCAGAGCATCATCTATTACTCTCTATTAATGAATCACTGGGAGCTTCCAGCTTGAAGGAGAAATAGAAAGTACTACGTATGCATAGGATTTCTGGCTTCCAAAAGGAATAGCCCATGGTTAACCCAAACAAAATAACATTATCTTTACTTGTCCTAGTTCTACAACCTTTTGTGAGTGGTTTAGAAACTCATAGCAACTCAGGTACATTATGATTTTCATCTCTTTTTATTAGATTTTTTGAGGCTTTTGTTAAAATTAATGAAGTCCTACTAAGTAAGAAAGAGGATCGAAATGTATATCGAATTGTAACTGAACCATTTAATACAATTTTAAAAAGGAAAAGAATGGGTTGTCGTGACCTGCAGTCCACCTAATATGCAAGGAATTAGAAAGCAGCTTAGAGAATAAGTATTTCTGCACATTTTTTTTACCTGGTAGTATAGTCACCTGAGATCCACAGGCCTTTTTAAGGGCTTTATGTATGAAGGCCGTCTTTGGGAATGGCATGTTTTCCTAGGGACCAAGTAGCTGAAGAATGACATTTTGTAGGTGATCAATGTACCTACTTGTTCTTTTCTCTAAGGAAATCAGTTTGAGACCATAATAAATTGACTTCTAAGTTTGTCGATGCTAGTTTTGACTTAACAGTCAGATGCTAGTTTTGAAAGGGACTACCGTGCGAATGGCATATCTTGATTTCATCAATAGCTTCATTCAACTTAGCTTTATAAAAGTCACTATGTTGTTATATTTCTCATTTTACTGAAGGCTGCTAAGAACTTCTTAATGGATGGGAATTGCTAGGTTAGATACATGGCTAACTCAGGAGGCAGTCTTTTAGTTTGTTGATAACTGTACCCAGTGTTGACGCCATCCTAAAGAGGAAAGAAAGTACCTGGCCAAGAGTATGGATCGAGAGTGCCTTGCTGGATTTGAAGCCTAGAGGAGAGAGAGGGGAGAGGCAGGAGGGAGGGCTGACAAGAAGGCTCCCATGAGTCCAAATGATAGATATTGAAAGGATTAATAGTGATTCCAAGCAAGAAGGAAATTCTTTGAGGAAAAGTCATTAAAGCTCTAGGTGGCTTTATTCTGGGACTAAGAAGGAAAGTGAATTCTCAGAACTTTCTCTCCCTCTTAGTTCCTTCCTGTGAAGGTCAGACTGAGAGAAGGCCGTCAACTTGCTGTATCTAAGAGACTTTGTTTTGGAATATAATATTTTTCCATCCTTTGTGGATAGTGATTGTAGCCTACATAGAAGCGAAAAACCTGACCTCAGTCCGAGGGTTCTTTGCTGTCTTAGAGTCGCATTGTCTCTGATTTACTTTTCTTTTTTCTTTTTTTTCTCTTCAGACTGCTTGATAGGGGCTGTGAATCTCAAATCCAGCAACCGAAACCCGGTGGTACAGGAATTTGAAAGTAAGTACAAGGGAGACTATGTATTAGGAGAACGGGCACCACCTAATGGACATTCAGTAGTCTTGCAACCAACTCAGTTCAAATATTCACATATAGTGCCATAGAGATGTTCCAGTGTGTGTCTACTTAACAGTGCATTGGATGTGTAAGCGTGTCAGTGAAGCAGAGCCCCTCAGTAGGCCAGCAGGGAACTCTGCGGGTTCTGTGTTGGCTCAAATCTGGTTCCTGCCCTGGCTTACATAACAAAGAAATTTCTGATACATAAGCGGAATATTAAGGGGATGTGTACTCTATTTAGTAAGGCTTCTTGCTAATCATCTTTATTCTTTTTCTTTCTAAAATTCATCTTTTCTTAAAGTCTCTTGGAGCCTGGAGACAGCTAGATTTTTAATCTGCATGAAATACCTCTCTAAAACTAGAAATCTTCCAAGGTCTGGGTATAAAATGAACCTAAAATTATTCCACTTTTACTAAAATTTCTTTTTTTTTTTCGCTCATTAGGTGTGGAGCTGTCTTGTATCATTACAGATTCACAGACAAATGACCCCCGGATTGAATGGAAGAAAATTCAGGATGCCCAAACCACATATGTGTTTTTTGACAACAAAATACAGGGTATGATCCTATAGTCCTCTCCTTTGTACACAAGGCCCAGGCATGTGCTTGTGGCCAGAGGCTTTCCCCTGACTGCTCCTGCTTCTGTAGCCAGGATTGTTTTTTTTGTTTTGTTTTGTTTTGTTTTGTTTTGTTTTGTTTTACTTACAGAAAATTCATCACATGTAAAGGTAATGAGAATAGCATGTTGAACCTCCCTGTACCTGTCACCCAGCTTCAATAAGTATCAGTTCATTAGTTAGGATTTTTATCTCTGCAACTGATATTTATGAGGCATCAGAGTGAACATTTTCCTAGACCTTCTTATCATGATCCATGATATTAGTGATATGAGCTAAGTGAATTAATCAGCAGGATCACCAGGAGCAGCAAGGAGACAACAAGTATTCGATGAACATCTACTGTGTGCAAGCACACCGCATTGAGAAAGCACTCACTAGATCAGTGAGCAGGATGTTATCCCAGTGCTAGAGCAGAGGTAAGCGCAGGGTGCATTCAGACTGCATGAAGTAGGAGCAGGACAGGTGGTCATGGAAGGTTTTCCAGAAGTGGCAGAGATGTGAAGAAAGACTAGTTAGCCAGGCAAGATGGTAAGGGGTGGAGTGAAGAAAGGTGTTGGGCAAGAAAGAATGCTGTGAATAAGGATACAGAAGCAAAAGGTAGCTTGGCTTATCAGAGAAACTATAAGTGCTCCTTCTTAGCTGGGGCTTGGAGAGAGAGGGGGTGGGAGGAAGGACACCAGATGAAACTGGAGAGGTATGCCGGGGCCAAACAAGAAGCAGTGAATGCCAGACAAGAATGGACAATTTCTTGAGGGTCCACTGAGAGATTTTAAGAGGGAAGTGACATGGTTACACTTAGGCTCCAAGAACAACGAATTAGCTGCTTTGTGGAGAAGAGATTAGAGATGGGCAATACTTGGAGCAGAATTTATAGAATTTATAGAATCCAAGAGGGAGGAGCTAGTGGCCTGAGCTAAGGTCGAGGCAGTGTAGAGAATAAAGAGGAGGAATTACTAGGAGTTGACTGTGACTTTGACGAAGGAGGGAGAGAAAGGGATTACAGATGACATGAAATGGAACACGACCTTCATTCTGACAGGAGAGAAGAAGTAAACCTGAGGTACAGACGCAGGTAAGTTATAGGTACGGTGGCTACAGAGTTCTCAGAGAAGTTGACAGTTGAGGTTTCACAGATGGGAAAGAGATTTTGTGGAAACAACCTAAACTCATGATCTTTCTGCTTTCTGCTCAATATCATCTGGAGTCATAGGCTCTTAAAAATAGTTTTGTTTTCCCACCAGTATCCTCCCCAACCTCTTATTTTTGAAGAGATAGAAATGTTACTCTTAGAAAACAAATTGGTTTTCCCTGGCAACTTAGGCTGCTCCCGATAAACCCTGTACATGCAATTTTGATCATCAGAGAAACCAAATGGGAATTTTTTCAAAGAACTTTCTGTTTCTGGAAATTAAACAGCTCACTCTTAGTTGGAAGGACAGAGAGAGTATTTGCCACATAAAACATGAATGCTGAAGGAAAACTTGAATCTACTTGGCCTTTTCTCTTGACTTAACCCAGGACTATACCAAAAGCATCCTGTTAGATTTTTTTTTTTACCATTTTCCTAACCTCTACTAATGGCCACTGGATAACAAACCTTCCCCTTCGAAAATGCCTTTGAAAATGTTCATCTTCTGTCATAGCATTTTGCCGTTTTTATATAAATCCTTCTTATACTTGTCACTAAACAACAGGTTAAGTAATAATTAGTTTCTACTTTTTTGTGTCATATTTTTCTTTTGTGTCATATTTGTCATTCTCTAGGTTTTTCATGCTTTTTTGAAAAGTTACTGTTTCTTTTTATGTTTAAATTTTTTTAAAACAAATATAATTCATATAGTGTAAAACTCACTCTTTTAAAGTATTTACCTAAGTGGTTGTTAGTATATTCAGCAGAGATATACAACTCTCATTACTGTCAAATTCCAGAACATTTTCATGGGCCCTCCAAAGAAACCCCATGCCCATTAGCAGTCACTCATCATCTCTTCTTCCTCCACTCACCTCCTGGCTGCCACTAACCTACTTTGTCTCTATGGAGTTACCCATTCCAGACACCTCATGTAGATGGAATTATACAGTTTGTGATCCTTTGAGACTGACTTCTTTCACTTCGCATATTGCTTTCAAGGTTCATCCATGTTGTAGCATATGTATCAGTACTTCATTTTTAAAAATATGGATGACTGATGATCCATTGTAGATAGGACACATTTTTTTGTCCATTCATCAGTTGACGTACATTGGTTTTTTTTCCCACTTTTGGCTGTTATCAGTAATGCTGCTATGAACATTCATGTACAGGTTTTTGTGTGAACATAAGTTTCCATTTCTTGGAGATAAATGACCAATAGTACAATTGCTAGATCATGTAGTAGTTGCATGTATAGTTTTTAAAAGAAACTGCCAAACTGTTTTTCAAAGTGGCTGCAGCATTTTCCATTCCTTCAGCAGTGTATTTCCCCATATCCTTACTAACACTTGTAACTGTCCATCTTTTTGATTCTAGCCATCCTAGTGGGTATGAAGTGGTATCTCACTGTGGTTTTGCTTTGCATTTCCCTGATGACTAAAGATGCTGAGCATCTTTTCATGTGCTTATTGGCCATTTGCAAGATCTTCTTTAGAGAACTATCTATGCAAATTCTTTGTCTATTTTTAATTAGGTTATTTGTCTAGTTATTATTGAGTTACAAATTCTTTATGTATAGGCATGCTTCATTTTATTGTGATTTGCCTTATTGCACTTCACAAATCTTGTGTTTTTTACAAATTGAAGGCAAGACCCTCCACCAGCAAAAAGATTATGACTTGCTTTTTTCTGTTACTTGTTTTTTGTGGTGGTCTGGAACCAAATCTGCAGTACCTTCGAGATATGCCTGTATTCTGGATACTAGTCTTTTGTCAGATATATGATCTGCAAATATTTTCTCCCATTCAGTGGATTGTGTTTTCACTTACTTGTGTCCTTTGAAGCACAAAAGTTTTAAATTTTTTATTAAAGTCAAGTGAAGGTGAATATAACTCTTTTTATGTGTGTGCTTCTTCCTTTGGTGCCATATCTAAGAAATCATTGCCTAATCCAAGGTCATGACAATTCATGCCTATGGTTTTTCCTAAGAGTTTCATAGTCTTAGCTCTTACAGTAAGGTCTTTGGTATAGATGGTGTGAGGTAGGATTCCAACTTCATTCTTTTGCATGCTGATATCTAGATGTCCCAGTACCTTTTATGGATTGCTGGTGGTCTATTTAATGTTATTTGTTTGACATCTTTCTCTTTTAGTGGGGCATCCATGATGGGAATGATGAAAAGGAAATGAGGCCTGTGCTTTAAAAACAGACACATGTAGTATCTTCTCTTACACACCAGGTACTATTTTGGTGCTCAGGGTCATCAGAGAGTTCAACTCTGTTATAAAGGAACAGAAATAGAAGCCAATCTGCAGTCTTCTTACTGAGGCATCAAATGCTGGCCCCAGAAACCACCTTCTTCAAGTGGCAAAAATATCTTTAAAGAGTCTTCTAGTGCCCTGTGTCTTCTTTTCTATAGGAGACTTGGCAGGTCGTGCAGAACTATTGGGGAAAACCTCTCTAAAGATCTGGAATGTGACCCGGACAGACTCAGCCCTTTATCGTTGTGAGGTGGTTGCTCGAAACGATCGCAAAGCAATTGACGAGATTGTCATTGAGTTAACTGTACAAGGTAGGAACTCATGTGAAGTTAAAACATGTCCCCCCTTTCAGGCCTCATGAATCTTGTCTGTAAAATAAAAAACATCAACTTTTTCTTTCTAGAACTGCATCCTTGAGGGTATCACATGATTTAGGGAGGGAGAGCTTTGAGACCCGAGACTGCTTGAGCTGGTAGAAAGTGAAAAGGGAAGTGGAGCTTCTGCCACTTTGCTGCACCAGCTGTAGGAGGCACTCCTCAGGGAGGTGGAGGCCTTAGAAACTTGCTGTGGGATTATACTAAGGGCGGGGGGTGAGCTACGGGGCACATTTCAGGCAGCAGATCACGCAGTCTGCAGGCGTGACCATGGGGATGGCAGCGGTGCAGAATCCCTTGGCCAGCTTTCTTGTTTTGGGCAGATTTACTGTGGGCTTCCATAAGAATAGAGCCAGATTGCCAATTTTAAACACCAGCCTGTATTTCTCCAACAGTGAAGCCAGTACCTCCTGTGTGCAGAGTCCCAAAGGCTGTGCCTGTAGGCAAGGCAGCGACGCTGCACTGCCAGGAGAGCGAGGGCTACCCCCCACCTCATTATAGCTGGTATCGCAACGACGTGCTGCTGCCGACAAACTCCAGAGCCAATCCCAGATTTCGAAATTCCTCTTTTCTCTTAAACTCTGAGACAGGCACTCTGGTAAGATCTCTTCTGAGAGGTAAGAATGGAAACGTCTGTGTTGGGACAAGGGGAACCTATTGTGGAAAGATCAGGTATTAGGAGAGACAATGAAACTTTGTAAGATGGGAGCTAAAAATGCACACCAGAGATTCTACAGAAGAACAGTCCTGATTTGAATCACCAACTGTAAAACTCATGAATTAATTAGGGAAATTTGATTGCTGGCTGGATATATGATATTAAGGAGTTGTTAATTGCTTTAGGCATGATAAAGGTATTGTAATTCTGATTTAAAAAATGCATATCTTCTAGAGATACATACTGAAGTATCTGTGGATAAAATGTATCTGGAATTTGCTTCAAAATAACCCAGGTGTCGTGGTGGGAAGGGGCAGGGTTAAAGGTGAAACCAGACTGGCCATGCATACAGAACAGACTGCTCCCGGAGCATATCATACCAGGCTTTTACTACATCTGGGGCTCTTCATCTGTGGTATAACCAACCTGTGGAGTAATGAGCCAGGTTAAAATAGGATCCTCTGTATTCCTACTGCCAAAGTGTTGCTTGAAGAACAATCATTCTCAGAGTCCCTTTACTTGAATAAAAGTTAAGCTCAACCTCTCCTTCTGGGTGTTGGTAGGCTTTGATATCTCCATATGCCTAAGCAGTTCTATTATTCAGAACATAGAACCCCTTAGGCAAGAGTGTCAGGGAAGAATATCAAAAGAACCTGGACAATGACCTGGAAGCTGCAGGGAAACCAAGAGCAGATGAGCAGATAGTTTACTTTGTTCTGGACTTAGCAGATTGACAGGTGGGGGCAGCCTCTTCTCTCCCTCCCCTTAGAGGTCTGCCCTGTCGCTTGGTTTCATTATTTCCTTGTAATTTCCTGAACCAGGTTTTCAGTGCTGTTCACAAGGAGGACTCTGGGCAGTATTACTGCATTGCTTCCAACGATGCCGGCTCAGCCAGGTGTGAGGAGCAGGAGATGGAAGTCTGTGAGTTACTTTTTGAAAAGATTTCCTCTGAAGACTGGCAAGTGAATAGAACATTTTAAATTTAGTATTAGACCATCCGTTTAGACAACTGTTCTGTTTTCTTCTGGAGATGACTAGATTCACCAAAATCCACTTGGGTACATTGAAAGGAAAGATGAGAAAGTTATGAGTAACAGCTAAATGACTAATAAGTGGTCCTTGCAATATGTTTGTCTCAAAATAGATTTTCTAGAGCCTTCTGGTATTGGAAACATGGCTAATCATGTAACTTTTAACTGAGTTTAATAAACTCCATTTTTTTTTTTTTGTAATTGATAAAAACATAAGGTTGTGTAAGGTCTTCAGGTATTTATCTAGTTATAACCATTTTGCAGCAAGCTGAAGTACCAAATTTTAGCCCCAGTAATTTACCCTGTTCTGTGATGCTGCTATCTCTAGGGTGTCGGATCTGAAGGGGAGGTGATGAGCCAGAAGCGGGGCAGAGGGGTATATCAGAAACAATTGGGGAACTCTTTGAGTCCCTCCTTCCTCCCTAGGTGCAGCCACTCCCTAGAGCATTGTTTCCCAGATGTGCCTGATCATAAGAATCATTTGAAACCACTGTTGTGCATTCAGGTTCCAGCCCATCTCCCCTCCCCCAACATATGGAATCAGTCTCCAGGGGAGGACAGGAATGTCTGTGTAAAACAGCACTCCAGGCGATTCTTCTCATCTGGCAAATTTGGGAAACTCTGCTCTAGGGTAGGAGGAAGATTCCCAGGCTTCGTCCCAGACCTTTTGGTTCTCTAGGGAGGGGGCTTGGGGATTGAGATCTTCAAATCAGAATTGCAACTTGATTTTTAAATATACACTCACTTTTGAGAACTGCTACACTAGAGTAAGGGAGAATTTTAACGACTTCCAAGTTAGTTGGCTTTTGTTGATATATCTCCTGCATATTTTCCACTGTGTTTTTGTTTGTCATAAACAGTCCAAGTGCCCTCACACTGAAGGTGACTGCATACCTTTGCCCAGTATACAGAAATGAGAAAAGGGAGTCAAGGGGTTTCTACTAAGAAAGCTTGTAGATATGAGGCCAGGCAGCCAGTAGAGTGAAAGGTCATGTTCTCATCTTATATTTCTTACTGCTTGAAACTAGCCCTCTTCCCCCAAATAATCCACAGCAAAGGGAAGCCCTGAATAGTAGGATTTTTTTTCTGCCTTGGGACTCCTGGCTTCTAATTCTGTCTTATAGTATTCATTTCTGCCATTAATAATATTCTCAGGGATTTAGCCAGAGGATTTTTAAGCCTTTTCTATAATGCCAACCCCCTTTTAATACAGTATTAAGTATAACAGCATTCGAACTGTAGAGTTCTTAGTACTTTTTACAAGTGAGATCAGGGGTTACAGTGTCCTGTGTGTTCTAGAAGACTTTGTTCTTCTGGCCGGGGGAGGCATGAGGGGCAGAGGGGGAAGGAGAAGGATAGAGGCAGGGAGGGGGCACAGCAGGGTCAGGGTCTTTTGTAAGAATGGCTAGTGTGTATCATCTCTTCCCTCCAACTACTTTAATCCAGATGACCTGAACATCGGCGGAATTATTGGAGGCGTTCTGGTTGTCCTAGCTGTGCTGGCCCTGATAACAGTGGGCATCTGCTGTGCATACAGACGTGGTTACTTCATCAGTAGTAAACAGAATGGGGAAAGGTGAGCCTGTCTTAGTTGGAGAAAAGAAAGAAAGTTCAAGTTGGCATTAATATGATATAAACAGTAGTCACTGAGCTACTCTCTTCTTTTTCACAGTTACAAGAATCCAGGGAAGCCAGATGGAGTTAACTATATCAGGACAAATGAGGAGGTATGGAGTGAGGGAACTGAGCAAACGTCATTTAGGTAACGTAGAAATCAGTGTTTCCAGCAGGGGAAATGACATTCCTTCTTGGAAACCAAGTGGATCCCATAGGAAAAAAGATTTCCAAATTGTATTCCAGACCCTGAGCTCTTTAGCCTTTCACAACAACATGTGTACATGCTGATGGCATTTATAGTTGCAAGCTCTTGATGTTACTTAAGAATGATTATCTGATGTTTTGTCACTTTCTTCTTCAGGGAAATGGTACGTTCGATTTGACCACCATTTTTCCTTTCCCACTGTCCTACTAGGCCCCATTGATTGGTAGAGGATGAGCGTGTTCTAACTTTGTGTTGGTCTTGCAGGGCAACTTCAGACATAAGTCATCATTTGTGATCTGAAATTTGATGGTGTGGCTGAGAGCACATGCAATACCTCTACTAGAAACTTCTATCGAGAGCATCCTGGAGCGAAGTGCACTTGGACAGAGCTAGACACTTGTGCAAAAGCTTTTTGTTTTGGCCAAAGTTGACCGCTACTTCTTACTTTTTAACAAGCCACATGAATAAAAGAATTTTCCTCAAGATGGGCACAGTCATCACAAGGAAAAGAAATTGAATGAGTTCACTGAAGCTGATTCCCAGTCTCTGGCCTGACTCCTTCCTGAGTGTTAGGGTGATTTTAAAGCTCTTGCCCACAGACTCTGCTAGGCTGGGCACTGCGGGCCTGGGAGTGTATTTGCCACTCGCTGTCATCAGCCAGGGTGAGCCCCACGTGAAAGGTAACATGGTAGCTGTGTCACACTAGTAGTGTAGGGGTTGGCAGTGTGACTCCCAGCTTGAAACCCTGCAACTGCAGAGTTTGAATCAATGAATCCAGAAAAGAGGCTTTTTATGGAATGACCTTGTGTCACAGTGGCCCACAGACAACGCTGCACCATTTCTTCTTAAAGGCTTTGTCGATCAGTGTTGTAGTGTCCATCTCGGAGAATCTTTTTGGATCAGCATTTTATAATAACAGCCAAAATCCACAAAGGTAAATTGCTTGTTGAAAGAAGGGGCCTTCTTACCTGTAGGGAACCCCGCTTGTCCATGGAGCATTTCGGTATTTAAGGAAAACTTCTATTTAGGCTAAATCTGAAATGGTACTAAAATAATGTTCTGCTTTTCTATGAGTGTTTATTTTATAAAATTTTACATTCTAAATTTTTGCTAAAGATGTATTTTGATTATTGAAAATTTCTATTTAAACTGTAAATATGTTGTCATACAATGTTAAATAACATATTTTTTAAAAAGTTCAACTTAAGGTAAGAGTTCCAAGTTCCTCGTGTTAAATTGGAAAATGTCAGTAATTAAGAGTATCTTAACCCAAGGAATCCTGTCAAGGAGGCTTATCGGAACATTCCTTTTTCCACATGCTTTAGCAATTTTCACAAGAGAACTTATGCTGTTTGTACACCAGACCATTGTTGCTTAGGAAATCTTTAAAAATTCCAGTTGGGTAATGTCAAAATCTGTTTGCATCTCTCAGAAAGAAACAAGCTCTTAGGTTAGCCTTGAACTACCTCTTCCTTAGATTACTAAAACTACCTATGCCCAAAGACTGACCGACCACCCAGAAGCTCTTAGACATACATGTGCAAACTGTGTTAGTCAACTCCCGGGGTAGAGTCACATGCCCTGTGAATGGGTATTGGCTACTGACTCCTAAGGCTAGCCGGCATGTCCCCTTCCATCTTTAATGCTCTGACTGTGGCTTTGTGTGCTGATGAGCTTTAATATGCTGTTCATGTGCCACAGGCACTTGGCTTAAGCTAGGACAGTTCTAAGGTGAACACTTCAGGAAAGATGGGTCTCC